TATGGAAAATTTCAAAGTGCAGTCCTGTTGCCCAACTCCACAACTGGTGTGTTAATCTGTTGCCTTCAGAGATATAACAACTTGTACAAGTAAATGATCTGGCCTTAGTTTTCCAGTCCAAAGTTATACCAAAGATCATAAAAAAGAAATATCCTGATGTGCTGGCAAAGACTGATGAAACTTCAATGGAAAAAAATCCTGCTTGCTGTGGAGAGAGAAAAAGACTGAAAAGGGACAAAATGTTGTTTTTACTGAGGTAAAAAACAGCTTCAGAGGTAAGAAAGAAGATAATGTCAAGACTCCCAGGGGGCTCTTGCAAATTAAATATGCATATTTTGTTGGGTCACATAACGAACAAGAACTAATGAAAGGAAAGCTGTTTCCATCTAGTGAAGTCCAATGAATTTTCATTTAACTATGAAAGCAACATTTACTAATTGTGACCTGCTTTGGAAAAGAACTTCTGAATTGAAATTGTTATTTCAGCCATCATCAATGAATCAGCGTACTTGCACACAAAATGTTAATGAAGATAAATGCAATTGCATAAAATTTTGATATAAAAGTTGTGATGTGATCATAATTTATATCCCAATTATTTCCTTTAGACTTAATCCTGAATTCCTTGTTCATTCCTTTTGTATCAGAAATTCTCACTGAACTCAAACCTGATTTTCATGAATGTGTCTATATTCGCTTGAGAAAGAGTTTCAGGTCCAAACCCTTCATTATCAAAAAGACCAGGAACCATGAAGATTATTAACAAGTTCTGGCAGCAAATTTAATATTGGTCAAAGAGAAAGAGATCTTAGGTAAAAACAGGATAGATGCGAAGGTCACCCATCACCTTTTACTTGGGAAGCCAGGCGCCGGTTCTGTGGCGCTACAATCTCCAGCAGCCACAGCTAAACCTGAGAGAGACCATGAAATGGTCACAACATGGCCTAAGCTATGACCGAGTTTCACATATTATACTGAGTCTGCAGAAGTCAGACTTGTGCCTTTTTGTTCTTTCTTGTCAGTGGCTACATCCTTCAGTGAAAGCTTTGAGCAGACACAGAGGAAAGTACCATTATCAATCACACCAGAATGACAACCTGCAGCACGAGAGGACATGTCTGCATCAGACAACACAGTACAGGGCACAGGTCTCAAAGGTATGACTGACTTCAGGCAATGAGTTCACAGTGTGGGGCAAGAGCCCAAATTCACAGAACTATGTAGGTTGCCCAGGTTTACAACTGAACTGGAAGACAGGTATCTAATCTGCAGAGGTGTTAATGAAAATCCCAAGAAGCATCTACCTTTTTAGATAATTTTACAACTTTAAATTACTTGCTATTAGCATCCATAGTGCCTGTGTCAATTGTGAAAATGGTATTTAGGTGCTCTTTAAAATTTTACCTGCTCCAAGACATTTGCAATTACATACAGATCGGACCAAAACTATAGCTCTTTCCTTGACATTCACTGAGGGTTGAATTTCCCTGAAATTTTCCTCACATGCCTATCTCAGTAGTGAGATTCAAGCAATCCTAGACTGAGTTCCAAATCCAACCTCCAACAAAGCAATACGAGTGTTTGTTTTGTTTAAAGACATCACAAGGAAAGATTTGAGCTCAGTGTCAACACTAACACAAGTGTCAAAATTTAGTTTAGGCTCACCTCTGCCAAAATTAAAAACCATGCACTGAAATATATGTAAACCTGACACGAGAGTGTCCAGCAGGACTTTTCTGTGTGTACAGTCACTCAGAAATGTATGATTTTGCTACTGGTTGGGGAAATGAGAAACATTTAGAAATGCCCAACAACACTTAAATCCATCAATGTATAAAATGGAATGGTTAACCACTAAACAAATGCGGAGGGGGGGTGTGGAAGATATAAATTGTGTAACCATTGCAATCAGAGGAATACATCATGGAGAAACTATATCCTGTGTGAGCTTTTATTATGTAGCCACTATGGAGAAGAAGTTAAGATTGCTAAATGCTGCCAATGCAACGAGCCAAGTATGGCAGCAGCCATGCACTGGGACTGATTGTGGGCACTCAATCATGGCTTTTTACATTTTACGATTTTTGCTTCATTGAAACTCCCAGGAGAATTTCCTACTGGACTACCTGCAACTTGTGTTTTACCCCAGTAAAAACTGGAGACTCAGATTATTCATGTGTAAACAGCTTCTCTAAATGTTTCCATTTAAATAAACCCTCTGAATAATTTACTGCACTTACATGGTCAGCAAAAATAACTGTAACTTTCCTAATCTAGTTACAAAACAATGACCAAAATACCACACAGCCACTTAAAAATAACAATTTTACCAAAGCTGAATTTTCCTTCAAACAATCTCCGGGCAAAGTCTGCAAAAGAATTAATTGGTAGATCGTATTCATAAATATGAAGCAAGCACTTAAAATGCTTTATTCAGAGTTTGTATAGGCTTGCTTCAAGTATTTGTGTTTAATTATTGCTGGTAATTTGAAGCCTGAGTCTTGAAAGCACCCAAACTGAACACCTGTTTTTCAGTGACACCAAGCTGCTGCTTATCAATTACACGTATCTTTAGAATAATAAGCCATAAAACATAAAAATGTAATTTTTAGTACTTTTCCATACATTGGTCCCAATCATTCTTAATATTAAGGGCTTACAATAGAACATGGCTGAGATCATACACAAACAGTTTAGAAGAATTTAAATTAAATAACCACATTTTAAAGATGTGTCCCCTGAAGCTAAAGAAGTTCAAAAAAACCATTCAAATAAGCAAATAACATTTTTTTACATTTACAAATGAAACATCATATGAGTATTTATTGATTTTTTTAAAAATTCAAAAATACATTGTAACAGAACAGAATGTATACGTTCTTCAATGAAAGACAAAACTATGGTTATCATCTGGACCAGAATACAAATACATGCTAACAATTTAAAATCATTTTGGGTCATTCAGGAAACATGAAACAAGCTAGCTGTTTGCAAATGCAGTAGTTTTCTACTTAGTAAATATGCCTGAGAAAGTTAACCTGTAAAGAAATCAGCTTTTAAACTCTTAAACACAAAGAGCTTTCTAGGCTGAAATGGTGAAGAGACCTGTGATATGCACCTGACAGGCCACTGAGCCATTTCCCACAGAGATTCTGTTCACTGCTCCACCTTGGCTCAGCCACCCAGCAGTGGCAGAGTTTCACATCAATACCAGGCTTATTCAAGCGAGGTGTTAAAAAGCATGCTAAGATGCTGTAAAACCATCGGTTACATACACAGCAGATAGATGTTAATAATTGAGATTCTCTACCAAACTCCTTGGTTTGTATCAGGGCCAAGTAAAAAGTAGTAGTCTAGTTTACGGATGAAACGGATTATATTTTTTGGCTCAAGGTAAGACCCTTTAAAAACAATTTCTACATAAGCATCTAGAATCAAAGCATGAAAAAAAAAGGACAAACACAACTAATCATTTTACAGTAAGCACATACTGTAGGCAAGTAGGAATCAAAACAGTAACATAAATTGTGCATCAGTTCTATGAAAATAAAGTGTTACTAGTAGACACAAGCAATCTGACAAGATGTGAAAGTGAGCAGTGAAAACTTCATGGATTGAATTTCTTTTCATCAGAATTAATGTGTTCCTACTGCAGGCAGGTAACAAATGGAACTCAGGAAAACTGGATTCCTATTAGCAGCTTAACTCTACTATGGTGAGGACTAGGCTTTTACCGTTTCTTATATTAAGAGACAATCAAACTAATGAATCAAAAATGACATTTTAAAAATGAAGGCCAAAAGAAAGCTGAATGTACATTTTAGACAGAAACAGCGTTAAGTCAAATCCACAACTGTGATATCTGACGTACCCAAATGTAATTTAACTATGATGCTTATGCCAACAGAACATCTGACGCTATTTCTCAGATTCTAGCAGCCTCTTTTAAATCACTTCCAACAACTGCATACTTCATAAATTACACGGGCTTTGATGAAAAAAATCATTATCAGGCATGCAAAAATTCTAACAGAAACCTCCAATTTCCAGAATTTGGTTACATGATCAAATCACATATGCTAGAACATACGAAACCAACTTTTCAAATGAAACAAATTCACAACTTTGAAAGGAAAAAAAACCCAAAACCGAACCCAAACAAAAACCTATGACAAGAAAAAGAATATTTCTACATAGCTGGTCCTATTCTCTGATGATGCAACACAGTAAAATGAACTACTATCCATATATGTGTGTAATTTTGAATGTAATGGTGATCAGGAAGAGGCTTCCTTTTCCCATCTTCCACACTGCAGAAATGACTGGATGTACTACAGAGGCTGCCACTGTCCTATGAAATGTAGGCTATTTGCCATTGCTGGATACAGGTTATCAGTGCTGAAGGACTCATGTGCTGACCCAGCACGGTTCATCTTACATTCTCTGGTACTGACTACAATGTCAAAAACATTCTGCATTGCTCTGACACCAGATCTGCTCCTAGGCTGCACCTTCTGATCAAAACGTTTTTATACAGGTTACAACTAAGAGGTGCAAGGTGGGAAGCAGAGTAACAGCTTTAATGACCAGGCCCAGAAGACAAACGCAAAGTTAAGGTGGTGCGTCAGTACTTTCTGGATCAGAGTCGAAGAGAGAAACCAATGCCAGAGCAGTATGTAAAGCTTCTAATGCCAAGAGGTGAAGACTCTCAAAGAAGTGCAAGTAAGAAGCATAATTTAAGCCTGTAATTATTTAAGGAAAATAAACAAAGGAGAAAAAGATGGCCTGCAGTAAGGTGAATGGAAGAAAGAAACAAAGAAGAGGAGCAGGGACATGTATATTGGTGCAGGGTTGTATCTCCTGGACCCAGAAACTGCCTTGGACACCAGCTAATTTTACAAGATAAGTTACATGCATGCCCACATTCAAGAGGGCAAAGTGAAACCTTGATGGCAATGCTATGATTCTGGCTGAAGAGCTTCATTTTCCCCCTCCCATACCTGAAAGCCTTGAATCCTTGCCAAATACTCCAGCTGTTTTGAAGGCTGCACTGCAGAACAGGGGGAAGCAGGAGATATTCCTTTTAGACCTATGGCTTCAGCAGTTGGGGATGTTCCATTCATGAGAAGTTCCCTGGCAATCGTAGCTGTGCTATTTGTTGTAGGAGATATGCTGAAGAAAGAGCTGGAAGTCTGGCTCATTTCTTTAGATGACAAATAGCTTACAGTGGTACCAGGGGCTGATTTGTTGCGGCTTGCTTCCATCTCTTGATAAACATCAGGAGAGAGATGGAGTATTCCCTTTGGTGCTGAAAATAAAGCCAAAGATCATTCTCATTATCTTAGAATGGGTTTGATGTGTAGACAATTTTCATTAACAGATTTTGCAGTGGAAAACAAAGTAAACACTTTGAAGCAGTATCGCTTTTTCTATAGTAACTGTAAATGAAATTGCATAATTTATTTAGACACAAAGCAGATTTGAAGGGCCCCTCTTCTTCCTCTTCCCCCACTCTTTTTAAGAGGGTATAAACCTGGACTTTAAAACTGTGGGTAGCAAGAATATGCAATATGAATAAATAACGTTTGGAGATCTACAAACCACGAGGAACAGCTGCTAATTCAAAATAGTAGCACTATTGTTATTTGACTACAATCTTCTGACTCCTACCTGATACAATAATTTAGGCTGTTATTTCACAAATAATTTAAAGTATGTTTAAATTTGCATATAAGTTTAAGTTTTCATATACAATGAAGCATTTATGGGAAACGTGAGTATCCAGTTTGCTGATATAAGAGGAAAACCTCTTTTTTATTATAAATAAATTGAAAAATGAGCTCTAAATGTGTAATTTTCTATTAATAACATACTTTAATCTTCTAGCATATATTTGAAAATAACATGGGTGAACCTAGCCATATGGCATTTCATTCTAGGGATGACAAACCTGTTTGTTAACTGATTTAGTAATCCCAAGACAAATCAAAGAGTTCAATGCTTAATTCACTTGCAGTACATATTGAATTAATCTCAGAATGTAAAATAAATTCAAAGAAGAGAAGAAAATTAATTTCTAGAAAGAAATCCTCTAATCCTAGTAGTGCAAGTAGTATTTTTAAATAAAATGTCTACCACATGGAGAAGACTCAAAAAATATTACCAGTAATTAATGTCCTCATTTTCATCTACATGGTGAAAATTGAACTTCCTCACTGCTGACTCAGCGAACTGCTTACAGGTGAATCTTTTAATTGATTTACTTCTGGCTTTTAAATTAATATTACTTTAAGAAAGCTGGAATATCACCGTATACCATTCACAAAGATGTATGCTATTCATCTGATTGCTCTCCCCACCTACCTTCATGGGGCTGGGGAGCCTGGTTGGGCCCTGAAATTTAAAGGTGTTTTACCCAGTCTTACAACTGGCTCCAAAGCCCATGGACCCTGCACTGAACTCTAAAGATAAGCACAAATTCAGGACAATGCTACTGGGAAGGATGGAGAACAGAGTCCCTAAAATTTCTTTTTCTCCATTTGGGACAATTTAGAATATAACCTTATAGATAACAACTGTGTAAACATGCAGCATTATTTTATAGTGCATAATCACTACATGATAGAGTGATTTTATACCGTTTTTCTGAGGCTATAAACTCCAAGGCCTACCACTGCTCGTATTTTTAAATAATCTTATACAAAAGATGTGAATGAAAATTAAAATAGATGATACAGATATTGATAGCTGACGTTAGGTTACAAAAAACAAACAGCAACAATCATATTGAGTGGAAGGTGTCCACCATCTCCTAAAACCAGACCACTGTAAATTTGATTTCCTATAAATATTTGAAAAACAGAAATGAAAACTGAACAAAAGGCAAAACAGTATACTTGTTTATAAATAATATATTGCCCCCCCCCCTAAATTTTAGAAAAACACAGTACAACGTCAAATTAAAAAAAAGTTTAAAGAAGTTTAAAATCAAGTCCAGTGCTGCAGATGTCTCTTCCATTGATGTAATATTACTTAAAACAAACATTTTACATGCTTTCTCAGCCATTTCACTGTTTTTACATGATCCACCCAAATATCTAACTGCTGTCTGGAACAATGGTTTGGAATACTTCCAGATTACTAGGCTTTCTAAATGTTAAAATAACTAATATGCAGCATATGATGAATAAAAAGATATTGAGCAAAGCATAGCAAATGCTCCCAAAGTACTGACTTTACTCTAATGGTGATGTTAAATTAATAATAGTACTTTTACACTTATGCAACACCTTTCTGATAAAGACTTCAAAGTGCTTTATAAGCAATAATTAATTTAAATCACACATTGGCTCTGAGAGGCAGATATTATATTACCATCATTGATTATCTCTGGAAACAAAGTAATGTAATATTTTAGACATTACATTAATATAGTTGCAAGCTATTAACTTTTTATATTCAGGGCCTATGTTTCATGAAGCTTCTTACAAGTTTGTTTTAAAAAGCCAATAAAAACTTGGTGTCGTCAAAAACTTCCATCAAGCATACATTAATTATCTATTTTAATACATTATTGAGTATTTTTTAAATATCATTCCTCACTGTTGTCTGCTTACTTCAACTCTGTTGAACTGCAGAAGAATGCAGATATAGATATAGATATATAGATATATATATATATATAAAAAACAGTTTAGTTACAGAATAAAGCTATCACAAGGAGTATTACATCAACAGAGGAGTAAGTGTAAGAACAAAAGAACTCTTCAGAGATTATCTTTAGTCTTCAAACAAGCACTTCAATTAAAAACATGGGAGAAAGAAATACTACTATCCCTCTAACACCTTTATGTATTGCAGGAGAACATCTCTAGGTGAATATGTTCATATTTTTGTTAGTCTTTCAGCTAAAAAAACCGTGGATTTATGTGTCTACTAAATATTTATTCCATACTAATTTTACCATATTCCAAAGGTAGCACTGTAATTGTTAGGAGTCACAGGACCTATAATACTACCTTTTACCCCTACAACATTGCACCTTCTGCTGGACATTAACTTAGAGGTACATTCATGAAACATGTTAAAATAATTTCCATTTATATTATTTAAACCTGTGGGTAAATGTGCTATGAAAATATGCAGGCTAGCTATGCAATGTAATCACTAACATTTGAAAAACATGTCTTATTCATCCTTGGCAGTAATTGTTAGCAGTCTCTCACAATCTTCTGAAGTCTCCGAAAACTCTACACCAAAAACCTCTCTTACCTAAGAAGAAATTTCTTGATCTGTCATTGTCTACTTTTACTGTCATGTACTAGACAAATGTGAAACAGTTTGGACTCCAAGGCAAGTGTACTATTAAGATATAAAATGGTCCAGCTATCCTTCACAAGCCTTCCCCTTGAAGTGCAATCTCAGTGATTTGATTCTGATTCTTTTCATAGCAGCAGTAGCAGAGGCAATCTCCAATAGACCTGTTGGAGTGGTGTTATTTTTATACCTAACTATTTCTCTTTAGGGTCCCCTTGGCTGGGAACTTCTGTGTGGACCTTCACTCCCTTCTGGAGTGCGTGGAAAACAAAACTAAGCATCGAAGGTACTTTCTGCATAGGGAAATGGGGTGAGGAAGGAGAACTGGCAATATCACCACATGATCCTCAATGTAGTAAGACTCCACAAAAATGGAATTTGCTCATACAGGGACAGTGACAAGTTACCCCACAGCAGTGGGCTACTAAGTTAAGTTCAGAGTGATGACAGTATTGCCTGCACACTCACAGGTATTAGTGTCTACACTAGTACCACTGGTGTCCCATTTTCAATTTTCTATTTCTGTCAGGAAGATCACAAAACATGAAAAGCTGAAATTTTGATTTTATCATTCAACTGCAAAAGATGACCTACAGAATCAGGCTTTTATTGTCAATCTGCATATATATATCAATGCTAATTTTATCTCTTTTCTCCTTGATCAACACTGTAAAGATACTCTTCCTCTGCCTTCACTCAATGACTTCTTCTGGTTTGAGGTCACTCATTGACTTGTCATTTTTATGGACACTCAGTATACTTGGTCTAAATGACAGCTTTATTCTATCCCAGAGAACTACAATTTTCTCCCTAGGCTCTCACCTGTCTTACAGGAAAGCTATACCTGTCGGTGTGTCGGAAGCAGTGTCAGCTGGTGTATGACTTCCCTCGACACCCCTGAAAAGCACATGCTCTTCCCTGCACTACAAGCTGTGATATGGGGCACCAGAATGAAGGAGTGCTTTCATGTCTTGTGTAATGATGCAAAGTAAACCATTATATAATTCTGTATATGACATATAACTTAATATTATCGTCCCGATATTTGAAATAATCCATCACTGAATGAAGATTGTCCATAAAGAGATAATCAGTATTTTCTGAACTGAATAAATTAATTGACAGATAATCATCAAAAAGCTTTCTTTCAGATTATGCTACCTATATTCACATTGAATAAATTCTTATCTTGTGCTGCTTAAAGTATGTGGCAAAATCTTGTAGTAAGGCATTAAGCAGGAAAAGTTAGAGCCAGATCCAGTCCTGACTTCACTATTTTGTAGTTAAAATGGACAAAAACTTAAGAGGCATGGAGGACTTTTACATGTGATAATTTCTCATAATTCCTCCATAGTACTGGCAAATTCTCAACATGCCCTAGAATATGGACCATTACAAATCCACTAAGAGCAAAAAAAGTGAATTTACAAAACCAAATAACTATTTCAGTAACAACACTAAAAAAAATTAAATATCATAATAAAAATAAATTATAGTTTTATACTTCACTCACTGTAAAAGCCTATTTATACACTAGAATATTTTCAAATTTTGTTTTATTACCTCAGTAGGAACTCAGAAAATGTCAGTCAAACAATTGAATAGGCAAATAGTATAGCCATTACATTCTCAGTAATTGTCTACACACACAATCTTGGCTTGAAATACCAAGATGCAACCATTACCTACTTAACACAGCTATCTGTGGTATTTCTAAGTCACCAGCTACTGCAATGTTCAGACATTAAAAAATGTTTTGTCATTACACAATGTCCTTCAATCAAAAGATCTCATCTATATGACCTTAAACAAACTGATGTTATATAAAGTCACTCATTAAAATACTAGCTTATTTAACCTTAAAATAACCAAGATGCTGAAGTAAATACTATTTAGTTTTTCACAAAGTCAGGTCTTGATATTCTTCATTTCACTGGAACATTTTCTGTACCACCAAAAAAGAAATTACATTATCACAGGAGACTTAAATTG